TGTATATGTATTTATATATATGTGTATGTATATGTATTTATATATATATATTCATAATGTATGTATGTATGTACACACACACACATACATATAGATGTGTGTTCCTGAGATGACTTCTGTTGTGACTAGGCACTATATAAATAAACTGAATTGAAAGTGAATTACATGTACAGATGAACTTACAAACTGGAAAACAATAGTGTGAATGCTGATTTCACATTGACACTAAAGACACATATAAGTGCTGTTTCTTGAAGTTGTAATAATGTGTTACCATGAGTCACTCAGTTTCCGTTTGTTGTGCAGGTGCAAAGAGAGTGCAGGAAGTGAATGCTCTGCAGGGGGAGAAGGGTGCCCATCTGGCAGCAAAGTTGATGGGTAGTGGGGAGGCATCATTAGGTGACGCCCTGTGGTGCTGCTCCAACCTCTACAGTGACATCAAGCTTCGCCTCTCACAAAAGAGGCTCATGATTTTCACATGCAGGGATGAACCACATGTGGGTGACAGTACAAAGGACCGACAGGCTCGCATCAAGGCCAGTGACCTGAAGGAGACTGGTGGGTCTAACTATAGCTTACATGTCCATTTATCACAGTCTTTTAAACCTTTTGCATGCATGTAAAACTAGTTCTCATGTGAGAAGTGGGCGGTGGTGTATTTATTAGAGCCTGACCAGTATGGAATTTTTGGCCATCACTGATACCAATATTGGGAGGAAAAGGCTAATGCCAGTAACTGATATAATGGCTGAAAAATTTTGAGCTTTGTCCACCCCCAAGTATCTAATTAAGCAGCGAGTGGAGTTTGTTTGTTTAGCGTGACTGTTAGCAACCTTGAAGCTAAACAGATCCACAATATACCTTGTCCCACAGTAGGTTTCCAAGTGGTGTACTGACCATAAAACCAGTCTTCATAACGTGCGTTCACATTTTCTATCCTCCACTATTCACCATAAAGTTATCAAGTGTTACAAAAATATAAATTAAAGAAAGAGGTGCCCTTCCCTGTTCATTGTTTAGTCAGTCACGTATGTAGAAGGTCTAATTAGTACTGACTGCAGCAGAGTTTATTTTTCTTTGTAGAAATGTAAATATTTAAGACAGACAATGCATTTCATTGAGGACAACAAAGATACCGTTACTAACACTGATATATTTTACCTCTGTTAGATTTGTTGTTCTGGATAAAGTTTTACAAGGAAATAGTCTGTGCTAGGTTATCTTAACATCTGAACATTAGCTTGCTAACTTCAGAGGCATGTAGCTAATGACAAGCAGGTTGGAGGATTGAAGAGAATTTATTAAATGTTGATTTATTTTACAGATCTGTTAAAATAAACTTAACATGCTTTGTTCAGCAAAATACACTACACAGTATTGCTCCCTGCTTTGTCTGTGCTGAACGTCAAAGTTAAACTTAAGTGAACGTCCATGACTTGAAAGTAGTCTTCATGCGCCCTCTGCTGGACACATTGTCCAATTACGGCTGGTTCCAACATTTTTAGGAGTGAAAATTAGAAGTGCTTATATCGTCGCGTATTGAGATAATTATCATCGATACGATAGGACCCCAAACACCTATATCGGCCTAAATTATCGGCCCTGCCGATTTATCGGTCGAGCTCTGGTATTTTTATTTTCAGACACTAAGATATTTTCAAAACCATGAAGAGTGGTGACAGATTCAAGGAATTTGATTGTGATTTATAAAATCCCACTATTATTGTTCTATTAGCAATCAAATGTAATTTATAATAGAATAAAGAATCTTCTTTTGTCTGTTCCCTTGTCAGGGATTGCAACAGCAAGCCTTCCTCCTCCAACTCACTGTGTGCTCTGTGTCTTCTGTCCTCTGTCCAGCTATGTCCATGTCTTTAACTTCTTCCTTATGTCTCCTCTTTGTCTTTTTCCTGGCAGCTGCATTTCTAACATCCTTCTACCAGTATACCCACTGTCCCTCCTCTGGACATGTCCAAACCACTGTCCGTACTCTGGACATGTCCAAACCACTGTCCCTCCTCTGGACATGTCCAAACCATCTCAGTGTGTCCTCTCTAACTTCATCTTCCCAATTGTTCAACCTGTGCTGTACCTCTGATGATCTCATTCCTGATCTTATCCATCCTTGTCGCTCCTTGTCCTTGTTCTGTCTCCTGTCTTTTTGTCAGTGTCTCTGTCTCCAGACCATACAACATAGCTTGTCTCACAACTGTCTAGTAGACCTTTCATTTGACCTTTGCTGCCACTCTTTTGTCACAAATCACACCTGGAACTTTTCTCCATCCTGCCTGGACTCTCTTCACCTCTTTACCACACTCCTTTTTTTCTTGGACTTAAAGTCCTGCATCATTGTGACCTCTGCTCCTTGTAACCTCACTGTTTCACAAAACACCCCCATCACCCTCCACTTTCATCTCCCACCCACACCGAACAGATAAACAACCTCCCCCCTCCTTTTTGACAGAGGCTCAAAGTTATTTATCAAATGCTAAAAAACCTACAGGAAGAAGAAGAAATGAAGAAACATCTGAATGGAGTTCAGCTCGATTACAGTGAGAGTGAGTCATGAGAGTTGTGATATTTAGCATGTTTGGGTTTTATAGTTAGAATGAAGTTTAGTGTTTTGTCAGTTTTAGTGTGTTTTGAGTGTAAAGAAAGAAATGATTTTTGAGCATGAGAAGATAAAACTGCATACCCAGAGGAGGATGGAACCACAGAGTCAGAACCTCTCAGACAGAGGAGAGGAACATGAAGGAGAAAAACAGTCTGAGTTAGACAGTGAGGACTTTGTTGGTGAAGAGGGTGATCATGACTTGTTTTAGAAGAAGAGTGGACCGAGCCCCACTAGGACTGACTCTGAGCAGAGGAGGGGGTCCAGAACTCTCTGACTGGGCCCACAGAACCAAGCATCAGTTCTGAGCTCTGGAGAACAGAGGAGGATGAGGATGTTGACCCAGAGGGGGTACTAATGGAGGAAAATACACCTTTTTATTTATTTATTTACCGTAAAATAAATATTTTGTCTATTAAAAAAAACTGTAGTGTAGTTTTTAAACAAAACCAAAACCTTAAAGCGTTAAAATAAAATTAAAATAATTTAAATTAGATATGTTTATTTCGGGCTGAAATAGCTCTACAAGACTGAGTTCTGGTAGTTGTAGGTTTTTGTTGTTGTTATTATTGTTTGTTTTGTTCGGGGGGGTGGGGGGGGTTGGAGAAAATGTTAAAAACTAATATTTTTAAGCAGTTAAATAATGTGGCTGATTTTCCCCTATTCAAAAAGAACATAAATAGTCATAAAGTTAAAGGTTAAAATTGTTCAGATGTTCACAATATGATGCTTTAGATGTGGATCAGATTTCATAATCTTGTTTGTATTTACAGAAAACAAAGTGAAGTTTTTGAGCTGCAACTGCTGCAAGATAAAGATCAATTCATTGTGTTGTGACTTGGTGATATCTAAATACAACTGAACTGAATTGAATAGAAATATTTATTTATTAGATTCATGAAAATGTATGTTAACTCACTCTACAAACTGATTGACAGCTGCTGCTGATTATGACTTCATAACTCTTTTCATGCTTGTGATGCTGGTGAGACATTTTCATCAGTGATCAGTTTAAACAGTTTGTGTTCACCAACATATGTGTTGATGCTGGGAAATGACTCCAGCCTCCTACTCTGAGCCGTCAGCCTCCTACTCAAAAAGTGGAAAGGATGTGCAGCAAGTTAGGCTAGTTAAAGATGGAAGTGGTAATGTTTTTACAAATGAGGAATGTGTGATAGGAAGATGGAGTACTTCAGTCAGTCAGGTCATCTTGACAGTTTCTGATGAAGCCTTCTGGACCGAAGGCGAAACGTTTCAGCACAAAAAAAGAAACTGTCCAGATGACCTGACTGAAAAATGTTATATTGTATACCTGGATTATTGAGTATGGACTTTGTTGTTTTTAACAAAAAGGAAAGTTGAGGTCATAAAAACTATGGACCAGGGAGAAGGGAAAATTAGTGAGGATGAAGTTTGGAAAGATTTGATGAGAATGAATAAGGGGAAGTCTGTCGGACCTGACGATATACCTGTATGGAAATGTTGAGGAGAAATGGCCATACGGTTTTTGACTCACTTATTGCAGAGACATGTAGGAGGAGATGTATGAAGGCAGCAGACCAAGAAGTGATTTAAAGATGAAAATGTACCAGTGGGAGAGTCTGCATGAGGTTAATGATGACCAGTTTACTGGAACTCCTCAGATTGATGAAGCCCTCCGGATAGAGGGCGAAACGTCTCTTAAAAAAAGGAACTGTCTAGATGACCTGACTGAGAATTATTGGATTTGACACCTGGATGATTGAGCATGAACTTTGTTGTTAATGATGTCCAGTTAACTAGTGAATACAGGGTGCAGTGGTGGGTATGATAGTTGCAGCCAGTTATGAATCTTAGTGCACCATGATAGACAGCATCCAACATCTGCAGGGTGCTTGTAGGAGCATTCATGTAAATAATGTCACTGTAATCAATGGAGGAAAGGAAAGTCACAGTTACAAGGTGTTTCCTAGCATTCAGAGTTAGACAGGATCTTTGTTTGCTATGATCATTTATCACCTGACTGATTTTGCACGGAACGTTTGTTGGGTTGAATAGTGTAAAATTTGCACTATAGCATACTGAATTGCTCTGTGAGTTCTTAAGTAACTTAAAATAGTTACTGCAGTAGATCTTTTCATGCCACAGAGTGACACAGGGCCAAGATGGGGCAGAGGTAGGGCAGCCGACCTAAAGTCATGGTTCGACTCCCAGCCTTTACCACATGTCGTGGTGTCTCTGAGCAAGACACCTAATCTGTAATTGCTCCTCGAGCACTTACATAGCTGCCCACTGCTCCTCCTGGGTGTATCCCAGGTGTGATGGGTTAAATGCAGAGAACTAATTTCATCATTGTATGGGAACATTCAATGATGACAACACATAGCACTTATATGTACTTTACAACATTTTTAGATGAGCAAGTGCCTGAGGAATTAAGAAGTGTGCTGGTGCCATCTTTAGGAACAAGAGTGATGAACAGAATTGTAGCAGCTACAGGCGAGTGATGAGCCACATAATGGAAGCTAGACTTAAACGAGATGACGATTCATGAGCAGCGTCTCACCAGTCACACTACAAGTTATTTACTCCCTCTTTAGTGTCCAGCCTCCCATACAACTCATCATACACCTTCTGCTTTACCTTTTCCACCTCCCTCTTTGCTCCACTTTGCATCTCCTTATATTCTGGTCTCCTCTCTTCTGTCCTCTCACTGTCATGTTTCTTCTTGGCTAACCTCTTTCTTTGAACAGTGTCCTGCACTTCACTATTCCACCACCAAGCTTCCTTATCATCCATTCTCTGTCCAGATGACACAACAAGTACCTTCCTACCTGTCTCTCTAATTACTGTTGCTGTAGTAGCCCAGTCATCTGGAAGCTTTTTTCTAAAAACTTACTGAAAGTTGGATAAGATTTTGTAGGTAACTCCTGTAGTTTTCCAATTTATTAGGGTGTGTTAAATCTCTTTCTTGTCTTTTTTCACTCAACTTTCTTTTAGGTGTTGTTATTGATTTAATACACCTGATGAAAGTGGATGGCTTTGATGTGTCGCTCTTCTTTCGTGACATTGTAAGTCCACCTGAGGATGAGAGTGAGCTGGGGCTGCAGCTGGAGCCCTGTGACAAACTGGAGGACCTCAAGAAATGGGTTCAGGCTAAGGAACAGAAAAGGAGATTGGCCAGGTTGATAAAAAAATGATCTCGATAGCTGTTACTTTAGCTGCTTCTTTGTTTTGTGATTTTTACCTACTACCTGTGTTACGTGACATATTTCTCTGCTGTGTTCAGGATGAGCTTGTGCCTTGGTGAGGGTCTAGATGTTGCAGTGGGAGTTTATGCAACAGCAGTGCAAGCTCAGAAACCTACTCCAGTCAGACTTTACAGGGAGACCAATGAACCAGTTCACAGTAAAACCCGCACCTTCCACACCCAGACTGGCAGTTTGCTGCTGCCCAGTGAAATAAAGAAAGTACAGGTAGTTTATATTTAAAAAAAAGACATACAAAATCTGTCAAGATCCAAGTTGCATGTCCCAAACTCTGTTCATATGTTGTAGGTATATGGCAAGAAACAAATAGTGATGGAAAGAGATGAGGTGGATGCCATCAAGAAGTTTGGTGATCCTGGGTTGTTCCTGGTTGGATTCAAGCCAATGGAGAAGCTCAAACTGCATCATCACATCCGATCGTCTGTCTTCATCTATCCAGAGGAGGACGAAGTAAAAGGTAGAGCTGTGTTTGATAGCTTAAAAAGATAAGCTACCAGTCTCTTACAGTGCCTTGCGAAAGAATTCGGCCCCCTTGACCATTTCAACCTTTTGCCACATTTCAGGCTTCAAACATAAAGATATAAAATTTTAATTTTTTTGTGAAGAATCAACAAGTGGGACACAATCATGAAGTGGAATGAAATTTATTGGATGTGTCAAACTTTTTTAACAAATAAAAAACTGAAAAGTGGGGCGTGCAATATTATTTGGCCCCCTTGCGTTAATACTTTGTAGCACCGCCTTTGTCTGCAGTTACAGCTGCAAGTCTCTTGGGGTATGTCTCTATCAATTTTGAACATGGAGAGACTGAAATTCTTGTCCATTCTTCCTTGCAAAACAGCTCGAGCTCAGTGAGGTTGGATGGAGAGCGTTTGTGAACAGCAGTCTTCAGCTCTTTCCACAGATTCTCGATTGGATTCAGGTCTGGACTTTTGCTTGGCCATTCCAACACCTGGATACGTTTATTTGTGAACCATTCCATTGTAGATTTGGCTTTATGTTTTGGATCATTGTCTTGTTGGAAGATAAATCTCTGTCCCAGTCTCAGGTCTCTTGCAGATTCAAACAGGTTTTCTTCCAGAATGGTCCTGTATTTGGCCCCATCCGTCTTCCCATCATTTCTGGCCATCTTCCCTGTCCCTGCTGAGAAAAGCAGGCCCAAACCATGATGCTGCTACCACCATGTTTGACAATGGGAATGGTGTGTTCAGGGTGATGAGCTGTGTTGCTTTTACGCCAAACACATCGTTTTGCATTGTGGCCAAACAGTTCGATTTTGGTTTCATCTGACCAGAGCACCTTCTTCCACATGTTTGGTGTGTCTCCCAGGTGGCTTGTGGCAAATTTTAAACAACACTTTTTATAGATATCTTTGAGAAATGGCTTTCTTCTTGCCACTCTTCCATAAAGGCCAGATTTGTGCAGTGTACAACTGATTGTTGTCCTATGGACAGACTCTCCCACCTCAGCTGTAGATCTCTGCAGTTCATCCAGAGTGATCATGGGCCTCTTGGCTGCATCTCTGATCAGTCTTCTCCTTGTTCGAGATGAAAGTTTAGAGGGACGGCCGGGTCTTGGTAGATTTGCAGTGGTATGATACTCCTTCCATTTCAATATGATTGCTTGCACAGTTCTCCTTGGGATGTTTAAAGCTTGGGGAATCTTTTTGTATCCAAATCCAGCTTTAAACTTCTCCACAACAGTATCTCGGACCTGCCTGGTGTGTTCCTTGGTCTTCATGATGATCTCTGCGCTTTGAACAGAACCCTGAGACTATCACAGAGCAGGTGCATTTATATGGAGACTTGATTACACACAGGTGGATTTTATTTATCATTGTCAATCATTTGGGACAACATTGGATCATTCATAGATCCTCACTGAACTTCTGGAGTGAGTTTGCTGCACTGAAAATAAAGGGGCCGAATAATATTGCACGCTCCACTTTTCAGTTTTTTATTTGTTAAAAAAGTTTGACACATCCAATAAATTTCATTCCACTTCACGATTGTGTCCCACTTGTAGTTGATTCTTCACAAAAAATTAAAACTTTATATCTTTGTTTGAAGCCTGAAATGTGGCAAAAGGTTGAAAAGTTTAAGGGGGCCGAATACTTTCGCAAGGCACTGTATTTAAAACCAGTAGTTATATTTATTAAATAAATGTCAGTTAATGAAAATGTGGTTGCTCTATGGTTATGTTTGCTGTGAACTCTGTTTGCGTTGTGTACTAAACTAAAGTGTTCTGTGACTTTTTTCCTTAGGAAGTGCGTGTCTGTTTTCAGCCTTGTTGAAGAAGTGCAGTGAGAGGAATGTTTTAGCTCTCTGCCGTTGCATCACCCGCCGAAACTGCCCACCTCGATACGTTGCCTTGGTGCCTCAACTGGAGGAGGCTGACGAAGGGAAACTTCAGATTACACCACCAGGTACTCCACCCATAACGTCACAATTTGTTTCATTTGGGTTCATTCAACCTTCATTCAACCTTTATTTCTACAGGTTAGTGTCAGTGAGCCACGAGGAGTCATTTACAAGAGAAGGGGGGTCATCTAAACAATTACCATGACCCATTAAGTTTCTATCAAATTTGATGTTTCTTCATCTTTGACTTGGAGATCCTCAACATCTTCATTTCTGACACTTCCATTTCTGTCTCCTGTCTTTGTGTCCATGTCTCTGTCTCCAGACCATACAATATAGCTGGTCTCACCACTGTCTTGTAAACTTTTCCTTTGACTTTTGCGGACACCCTTTGGTCGCAAATCACTCCTGAAACTTTTCTCCATCCACTCCATCCTGCCTGGACTCTCTCCTTCACCTCTTCACCACACTGGACTGATTTTTCCTCTCACATCTAGTAAAAAGTAGGTTTTGTGCAATTACAATCTTTCTAAGAAAAACGTTGGTTACGTACTGTAACCCCAGATTCTATGAATATAGGCATAGCCCTTTAAGGCTGTCGCTTAGTGAGTTTATCCCGTCATGTGAAGCATTACACTGAAAAATTTAGTCCACGCCCACCTGCTGTGTGGGCCCCACCCGGTCCGTATAAATTACGTTAAGAGTGGGTAATCGGCTCCCAAATAGCTTTTTCTTCAGCCACTTAGGAGCCAGTGAGGCCCGACGCTTAAAGGGCTAAACCTATATTCATAGAATCTGGGGTTACAGTACGTAACAATGTTCTATTTCATATAGGCTTCGCCCTTTAAGGCTGTCGCTTAGTGGGTTAAGGGCGAAGCGGATGTGGTCCTCGCCTCACTGGGTCCATTCGAACACCGTATGAAACGGAAGCTTGCCCAAAAAACGTCTTGTCACTCAGCTCTCCATGTGCGTAATTACATGTTGCGTAATTATGTGTACCATGCACAGACGCATGCTGTGTAATTATGCGTTCTGAATGCATGAACACCCCAGAAAAGTTTCAACGGAGGGGAGAAATGCTGAAAGGAGCCATGAACCAACCGGTTCACGGCTGAACAGTATGAACAGATTAATAATAACAAGAGAGCTGATTATTAATCACATGAACTGATTGGTAACGATAGTCATGAACTGATTAATGACAATAGAACCAAAATAACAGTCACAACTTGTGATTGATAACAACATCTCACTGTAATGCATGCAGACAGATGTGAGTTAACGAGGTTCCATGAAACAGCAATATTCATTCTGTTAAAACACTAAGTACAGAATGTGTCATGGAACGAGCCGTCACATCACATAGATAAAAGCGAATAAATGAGCAGGGTGTTGACCACGCGGTCGCAGTGCAAATATCCTGCATTGTTATACCATTATGCAAAGCAGTCGAAGATGCGATACCTCTGGTCGAGTGCACCCTGAGGTTGACAGGAGGCTCTAAATCTGATGCTCTGTAGTCTTCAGAAATGGTCTTACACAGCCAGTGTGACAGGTGCTGGGTGGATAACGGGCGACCTGCAGATACATCCCAATTGTAGTGAACTCGGCCTCTGACCAAAACCCGTCTCTGAAGACCTTCATGGGACAGGAATTGTTATTTCATTGATTTGAATCCAGAAATACAAATTAGCTCATCCAGAGACTGTCTAATTGTATCCTGAATTAATCAATTGAAAGAACACTCTTCTTTTTATATTATCATTACTATTTTACAATATCTTGATAATCAAAAAGTGTGTTTAGTTCATATCATTGCTAATGTTGAAGTGAACCACTCATTCTAAATCAACTGTGAAACAGTATTAATTATTTTTTAAACCTCATTTAAATTAGAAATCAAGTTAAATGTCTATTTACAAAGGAATTATGCATTTTGATTTTCTGTCTAAATGAGAAGTTAGTGATGTCGGTCAAAAGTCAGAGACAGTCAGAAAAGAAGTTATTAGAACGGGCTGTATTGTTTTTAAACCTAGCAGACGGTAAAAAGAGAAACACTGGCATCTGCGTTGTCTCACTTTGCCATAACATTTCTCTGTCTGTACTAAATGTTCCTAAACATTCCTGAACCCTCTGTGACTTTTAATAACCCTCTGACATCACTAGAACCACCCCCTGTTGGTTGTTTCAACCAATCAGGAAGTATTAAGTGACCGGAAGTGAGGACTCTTTTAAAAGTCGACACTTCCTGGAACTAGTAGAGTCTTCTCCATCTTCTTGGGTCTTCTGAGTCTTCTGAGTCTAGTCTTGGAGTTCTTCTTAGTCTTCTTGACTCTTCAGTCTTTGATCTGAGTTGAACTCAGTCTTTGATGGAGTCTTCTCAAGCCTTCTGGAGTCTTCCACTTCTGAGTGGAAACTCTGACGGACTCACAGATACTTGCTTTGAATCAACCCGGGCGTAATGCCTACAACTTCGAAGAGAGCTGAGCCTGTTTGTTGAACGGAGTAAATCGACACGACTTCTGACAATGACCAGCCGCTCTAACCGGAGACGCTGGAAGGTAGCGTTGAAATGGACCCAGTACCGGAGCTGATTCATCATCTGCGAAGGTAACGAGTCGTCACGCGCTAAGTGTACCGGAGGTTTGAGCTGGTAATTGAAAGAAGCGTGCTAATTCTGGTCAATCCAAACATACACCTCCCTTCATCCATCTCTTCTTTGATTCCTAAACTCCTTCCTTTAAACTCTTCTATTTTGCCAGTAATCTAGATGCCTTCAGAAATGTCCTGTTGTCTTATTAGTAAAGTGTGCCAAGTTTTATTAATCAGAACCAGATCAGCTAATCATGTGTACATGTTTTGATGTTAAATTTTGATTCTGTTAAATAAATGATCGCATTTATTCTGATGGGTCAAAGAAAATTAACGTCTCTTGTCACTGATTAAACAATACTCAGTTACCTCATTCACATGGCATTAATTTAACTCGAAAAAGAAAGAACCCGTTATATTTAAATAATTAGTAGTGAAGGTACAGCGAGGCTGCACCCCACATTTTACTACATTTGGTGGGACCGTACATGTTTTAAATAACACATTTGGTGGGACCGTATGTCCACAACAAAGCTGTACCTTGCATAATACATTTTGGTGGCTCGAACAGGTTTCTAAAGAGATATAAATTATGTGTGACACGAGTATCTGTGCTGTTGGAATGACGTCATGTTGGCATAAAAAAAGTCCGAGTTTTGAACTTGAACGGACATGATAATTCATGCTTTTGGTGGTCAGAAAGCTGCAGATTACGTCAATGTGTTCATTTTAAAGCTGAGAGTGTCAATCTGTTTGTGTAACTAAGATGTAAGCAGTGAGGATGACGCATCCATTCTGTTTGAAACTGTAGCAGAAGGGGGTTCTGCGTGTCTGACCCGGTTCTGTTTACTGGACTCGTTTAACCGAGTCGTGTTTTGGATGATGGTATGTTTGTTTGGAACTGGGCACCGACTCAGAACGCTGTTTGTATGCTGTTTTGTTATGTTCACAGTAAAATTGTGCATTTTCAAAGTTTTAATGGGCGATAATTTGACTGGACTGTTAATGCTAACTGCTAGCTTGAAGCAAGCTGTCACGGGCTGTGATTGGTTGAGAACCACTGTTTGGGTCGTTCTGATTTGCTGAGAAGCTGGTGACGTATTCCTGTACGTCTACTCACTCTGATGTCAGTGCGTAAAGCCCACACCGATGTGCACGTATCTGTAAAGTCACGTGACCCCGGAAATGAAGCTCGTGTTAACCGAGTCCTCTTTTGTGTTTAAAACCGCTGAATAAAGCCTGACACTGTTCCTAAAACTCATGTGTACATGCAGATAAGGCGTGCTTGTTGAGAGACGCCACGTTAGAAGCTTTAAATCCGTCCATAAATGTTGATTTGAACCATGTTAGACCGCGTGCTACATCGGAGCTAACGGCTAACGACCGGATGTCAACAGGACGGTTCACAGGAAGTCGTCAGTGACTCCTACCGGTAAAAGTAAGCTTACACCGCCACCTGCTGTTGGAAAGGAGTATAACAGTTTTCCTGAAAGAAAGCTGTACACTCGTCTTTCACTTAAAACATTTTTCCTCTGTTAATCAGAGCCTGGTTTCTGTGTCCTGTTTAAATAGAGAATTCTGGTGAATTAAAACTGCTTAAAGAGTGTTTAAAACTAAAGTTGATGTCAGACTTTAGAAAAATTGCAGGTTTATTAATTTTAAGTGCATTGGAGTAAAATAACACTGAAAAGGCCTGGTTCATTGTATCTGTTAAAAATTAAGCATAATTAAGTAACACTGCCAGAAGAAGGCATTTGCTTACAATATTTATGGGGTAAGGCCTGAACAGGGGCCCATTTATTGCAAAGTTGGCTTATAACAGTACTGTTGATGGAACCCAGAGCTAAAATAGTGTGTGAATCTCTCTGCTCACTTAAGTAAAATATTTACCTTTTAAAAACTCTAAGTTTGCAACTATTTAACCAGATAGGTTTGCTGAACAGTGGATATCTATGGCAGATGTAACAGACGCTAATATTTTTCCATGTGATAAGAAGGACTGGTTAGAGAGAGTGTTAACGCTACTAACAGAATCCTTACATCCATATGGTGAACAGGTGGACAGCATGAACTCAACAGAGTTATTGGACGAGCTGAAGGAAGTTGCAGAAAGTGTGACTTCTGCAGCCATAACAAAGTCAAGCTATGAACATCTAGCTAAAATGGCACTCTTGCTGAAAGCTAAATTTTATATTGAGGCCAACAAGGCAGAAGCCCTTGATGAAAGGTTAAACAGCGAGACAGAGGAGTATCTAAAACTCAGGGCACAGTTTAAATTTGATAAGGAGACCTGGGAAAATGAATTAAAACGTGAGAAAGAGCTATCACAAGCTCAGCTGTCGTTACAAGCAGACTCGTATGAGGTGAAGCTATGTGAAGGAGGGATTAAGTACCAAGCACTGTGTTCAGACAATGATGCGCTACAATGACAGATGCAGCTCACATCAAAAGCTCTGGACGAGTGCAGATTGGA